CGTCACGAGGGTTCAACTTGCAGGCACGAACTTCTGCTTGAATGCTGGCATGTGTAAGTTCCCTCGTTTACAACTTCCATTTTGCCCTTGTAAGCTAATGTTGCATGGGTTCTAGCGAACGTCTTCGTCAATGGCGACCAGTTGAATATCCGGCGGTGCATCGACTCTATCCCAGCTCAACTATGGGATTATACGAACCAGAATCAGATCATGCTAAAAGCGACAGAGGCAGGAGGGAGTATGTCCTCTTCGTTTCAATTTGTGTTCATTCAGAAATTTAACACCCGTCAGACCCTCAATGCGTTGATTGGCCCTTCAACAAAACTCAACTGCAAACCTACCAATGCCTCAATGTCGGAATTCCGAACGAGATCTGGACCATTACCAACACTACTACGTCTTAAAGGGCAGCGGATATCTAGGAGGGTACTTCGTTACAGAGATATGGACTCAATTAGCGAATTAGCTCTCCTGTTATCTTGTTTTGCCTTCTAAGTATCAAGCACGTTGCAGCTGTTCCAAAAAAGGAAGTATCTGGGGTACAAGGCTTTTTTGTTCGAGAACAGTGATGAGCTCGAGCCTGTGGCAAAAATTTCGTGTCATGTACGCTGACGGTGATCAGTTCCTTTCAGCCTTACATAGTTCTCGTAGTGTATTTGCCTGCACATCGTGCGCCTTGACGTTTGCAGACTGAAAAACCTTTTCGAACCAACCTCAGCTTAGTAAGCACTTTCGAACTCCAAGTTGGGCGAGTTAATTTTGCTGTACTACTTTACCCTCAGCAGGGAGGTTTTCTCTGACTGGCGAGTGCGGGACTCCGACGTGGACAAGTGGTTGAACCAAGCCTTATGTGAATCGTGGAGTCCAAGTGGAGTCTCTCGTGCGACGAGTTGAAGAGGGTCCCGGAGAAGTCCAACATGCGGGTAAGTACTTTTGAACTTCAAAACGAGTGACTTCAGCTTTACGGTGCCATGGCAGAGATTGGACGAAAGCCTTGGATGGAACTTAAAAATGAGCGACTTCAGGTTTACAGCTTTTGTTCGAGAACAGTCATGAGCTCGAGCCTGTGGCAAACGTTTTGTGTCATGTACGCCGACGGTGATCACTTCCTTTCAGCCTTATACGGTCCTCGTAGCCTATTTGCCTGCACATCGTGCGCCTTGAAGTTTGCAGACTGAAGAATCTTTTCGAACCAAGCTCAGGTAAGTACTTTCGACCGCCAAGTTGGGCGAGTTAATTCTTACTGTACTACTTGCTTACCCTCAGCAATGGTTAGGCGGGGAAGTTTCTGTTTCCCGATTGGCGAGTGCGGGGCTTTGACGTGGACAAGTGGTTAAACCAGGCCTTGTGTGAATCGTGGAGTCTCTCGTGCGACGAGAAGAGGGTTTTGGAGAGCTAATCCAGCATGCGGGTAAGTACTTTTGAACTTCAAAATGAGCGACTTCGGGTTTACAGCACCATCGCAGAAATTCAAATCGGACGAAAGCGTTGCTTCTCTAATTGGCTGCGAGGTTCACAAGTGTTCGAACAAACTTGTCCGTCTCCAATGCGGCGCGCGTGCAATGTTCTCGTTGGCTTACCAGCAGCCTTTCAAATTGTGAATGATATTTCTCGTGCTGAGAAGAGGGTAGTCAAAGGAACCAATCGGTACGTCCAAAAAATGTCAAGTTGGACGGTTCGACGTTTAACGGTGTCCGTAGCAGGGATCAAACTGGGAGGCTATGCTTCCCCGAATCTATGTACCCATTATTTGATATTAGCAAGTGTACGAGGCGGGGTTGAAGCAAAGAATACAAGGCCCCTCCCTCAAGTGCCAAAGCGAAATCAATGTCGTCACACTCGCCGCTTCTATGTGGACTCGATCGGACGCTCTGGGGTCGACCACAACGGATTGAATGTGAGCCGTGTTTGCTGAGGATTCAGGGGCTGGATACGCTTCCATAGGAGAATATTGGGCTCCTGACGCCTCTGATTCATCTTGGAGTAGACACAGATTCGAAAGAAAGGTGCGGGCAAGGTGTGCATGGTAGGCAGAGCACCAAGCACGTCGCTCTATGATGAATAGCCCAATGTCAGTCTCAGAAACAGATAGTAAGTGCGTTCTCTATCCACGAGCAAACATACATATAATCTCCCTTTTTCGAATTAGCCTCCTTTTCTCCTCCGAACTGTCTCGCGGCAGTCAAAGCTTGGCACTCAATTCCCAGATAAAAAAGAGAGGATTGTGCCATTCTTCTCGCTCCCCAGGATTTACCGTCATGCTGGCGAAGTCGCTCCTCCTTTGCCTTTTGGCTGTGGCCCCAATTCTCGCTGCCCCCCAGGGCCCTGCGGCCACAACGTCGACGACTGCTGTCACTCCCACCTCGTCGTCTTCCTCCTCGTCTTCCTCCTCCTCTAAACCGCCGACGACCTCATCGACCACTTCCAGCACCTCGTCTACACCGTCATCCACTACCTCGTCCAGCTCAACCTCTAAAAGCTCGTCTTCCACGACGTCATCCACCAGCTCAACCTCCAAATCATCCTCGACGTCGTCTACCAGCTCAACTAGCTCAACCTCCAAATCCTCCTCGACGTCATCCACCAGCTCAACTAGTTCAACCTCCACATCCTCCTCGACATCATCTACCAGCTCAACTAGTTCAACGTCCAAGTCCTCCTCCACGTCATCCACCAGCTCGACCAGCTCCACATCATCTACCAGTTCAACTAGTTCAACCTCCAAATCCTCCTCGACATCATCTACCAGCTCCACCTCCACATCCTCGTCGTCCTCAACCTCTTCCTCAACCTCTTCTTCATCTAAAACGTCGTCATCCACAACCACATCTCCATCAACTACGACAAC